TAAAAATTGTTAAAAAATTAATAATTAAACTTTTTTTACTTACTAACATTTTGCGATTTTATCTCATTCAAAAATCTTCATTTATATATACAATACCATCAAACTTTTTTAATATCATTTCACATTGACCTCTTCTTTCCTATCGTTGATCTTCAACATCCCAATTACAAATATATCCATCAACCGACTTAACATAATGAATTGTACCATAATCATCATCTTTTGCTATTGTATAATATTTTGAAATCTATCATATGGTGTCCATTCTATTAATTTATTCCAATCGGCATTTAGTTGAGTATCTTGAATAAATTTATTTATTGTATCATTTCCGCTTGTCCATTAGAGTATCTTCAGGTTTCTTAATTGCATTCTCGGCATGCATAGTTCACTTATAGTACGTAAGGTAGAAGTTATTTTTTTTTGAAAAAATAATAAATAAATATATCGGGATTTACGTTTCTGCTTAGATATAAATGATTAAATATAATTCTATTTAAAACTATTAAGTTATCATGCTTTCATAATACTATTTTTATAAGTGATATAAAAGGTGATTTCTTCGGACTTAATCCGAAAAATCTATTATTTAAAATCTTTCAGATCAACATGATAACCTTTAGATTATCTAATATATCTTAAATGCAAAGGTATTCTTTTTGATAGACCAAATACATGTGATAGATTACATGACCGCTTCTGTATAAAATGTAGGCAAATGGAATGAAAATCAAAAAGATTAAAGCAAAAAATAAAAAGAGGAAAGTGAGAAGCGAGAAGGGAGTGGAGAGAGCAAAAAAAGTAAGGAACAAAGGAAAAGGTTTGAAAAGGGAAGGAGAAGGAAATCGTCAGAATTGTCCATCGCCAATGCCGAAATCGCTGAAATCACCATTCTTAAGGGTAGAAAATATGAAGCGAAGCGAATAGACAAGAAAAGAGCAAAGAAATAAAAGGTTGGAAAAAGGAAGGAGAAGGAAATCGACTCCAACGTTTTATGCTCTCGAATGAAATATTGTGTCAACGATAGATTATTGATTTTTTGGATATTTATTTTAAAAATAATAATAATAATAAAAATAATATAATAATAATGATAAAATATATAATTATCATTGATGCAACGAGGTTTCCTACCTCAGTGGAACTTTGGAAGGAATGATTTAAATTACTTCTATCATATTTTAAGTTCGTTGTGCAATTAAAAGAAGAGAAAGAAGAGATCGAGACGGAACCTAATAGTATAAAAGATTTGATTGAAGAGAATAATAATTATTCTTAACAAGATAATAAAATAATTCGAATAATTATTGATGAAAAAAGTAATAATAATCATGATTGTGATAATGATGATGATGATTATGATGATGATGGTGATGATGATGATGATGATGGAACGAGATAATTTGATGCAAGGAATCATTAGGGAAGATTGTGTTCCCAAATTCAATAAAGGTAATAATATATAGATATATATTTGTGCATGTTTTACACATTTGGGAGATTAACGAATTTAAAAATGGTTTTATCTAATCAATCATTTGATCATATTTGAATTTTTTTTTAAAAAAATAATTTCTCAAATGTTTATTTATTTATTAGTAGAATGCTGATTGCCTTCATGCAGTTGAATGAAGAGACGGCGAATATTAAAGGTTTAATTGATCCAACTATATAAATTGGGCACACACGTAGGGGCTTGGAAAAGACTCGTCAAGTCTACAAAGAGTATATATAAATTTTATTAGTAATTCATAATTAAAACTTTTTGTTCATACATTTACACTTTATATATATCTCTTAAATTCTTTTCTCTTATTTCTCTCTATTATCCTTTCTTTCTTTATGTAACCTAGCCTTCCGTCAACAACTATTCTCTCCTCGACTTTTGCATCAAAATCGAAAAACAAGATACAAGAATACCAAATACAAACCATCAATGTCAAGTGCATCTGAAATGGCTTATGGACAAGCCTTTCAATTTAAAAAAGGTATTTATTGGTAAGTTAAATTTCAATTTAAATAGATAGATATATACATATATGATTTATTACACTACTCACTTGATATTTATGCCAATTAATTATTTAATTTATATTTTGATAGAATTATGGAAGATTATATATAATATATTTCCATAATCTAAGGTAAAAATCGAGTGGTCGTTTTGTACGAACATGGCATGCCTTGGAAGTTGTATCATATCTGGAAGAATTTAGAAGAAGTTTTCGTGAATTAACATTATCACCAACAACCATGATCATCATAATCTCGGGGAAATAACTATTACAAATACATCCTGGGTAGTAGAATAAGGTTTTTATAAATGACGTAAAAGGTAATTTCCTTGGGTTTTGGAGGTAATATTTATGTAATTATATTTTATCAATCGGGGTTGTTATTTTATATTCATATGACTGAAATTTAGGAATTTTCTAGTTAAACAAGTTAAGATCAAGTTCACTATTTAACAATTTTTTTGCTTTATATAAAAAAAATTGAAATTATTTTTTTATTAACATTATTACATCAATCTTTACTAGTAACAGATAACGCTACACTTTGTATTATAAAACCAGATGTCGATAGAACTTATACAGCTATACTTCCACTTTCATCTTCGGTATTAACATTTTTTTTGTTTTCATTATTTCTAAAACTATTTATTATTACTTGCAGTAATATCTCTTTGGTCAACTGTTATCTTGGGTTAATAGCTGATATTATACTGGTTAAATTTCGATATGATGTTAAATCATTATAACGGGATAAAGGTTCTGGGAGCTATTAAAATCGGTAAATTATTTAATAATAATAATATTTCTGTTATTCTGTAGAATGCGGGTTTTTAGGTAATGCACTTGATCAAACAAAAATAGTCTTTTGTATAAATTGAAGAATTAATAAAATAATTATTACTTATTTCCTTTTCGGAAAGAAAGAATGCAACCTTTTAATATTTGGGAGAAGACGTACATATTATTACAAAAATTAAATTTTTATATTTTACTTTAATAACAATAGGTTTTTTTGTGACTAGTTTTTTACGAGATGTGTTTGTGCTGTATTTTAGGGTTCCTTTTCATATGTTTATGAATCTTCTAAAAGAAATTTCCTTCTTCATATATGTAATTTGTGAATAGTTATGAGTAAGTTAATTATATTATTAATTAAATGTTTATTATTACGTAATAATTAATTAAATTATTTATCATCATATCGGTTTAATTAGGATCGATCGACATGTGTGACTGATCCCATTCCCATAACCTTCAAAAAAACCATTAATTATCTCCTTTCCCCACCTCAAATTTTTTCCTCACTGTTCAGAACTTAATTGTTTTTTCCTTGTTAAGAATTTTATAGTTCTCTTCTTATTAAGAAGATTCAAGGAATTATTGATTTTTGTTATTAAGAAATGGTTTTACTATCTCTTGTTAAGAAATTGTTGAATTTATTCTATCATTAGAAAATGGGTTCGCCTGTTTATTAATGACAAAATAAGTTTGCTTTTTTTTTTTTTAGAGGATTATGGAATTATGGTTTCTTGATAAGAACAATTCTCTGACCTACTTCTAATGTATAGCTTGCTGCATACTATTTTCCATGATAGTTAGCTATATATTAGAGCCAAAAACCTAGATTGTTGGATTAATTGAGGGATATTTTTTT